CTTCCCAAATGCCCAGAATGTACTGAAAAATAGCAAATTAACTATTTCAGACATTTTGAGAGGAATAGAGAGAGCAGAAGCAGAGAGAGCAGTATGTGTTGAGATGACCTGTCTTTTCTGGTTGTATTCACTATGGATCCCATCATGAGCATAATGCAGCACGTTCTACCATTTTTTTTCCTTCACGCAAAACCTGGAACTGACTGCGCTGATTGGTGTACTAGGTCCATTTGAATACATGGAAACGCTTTGCATGCATTTCTGATGATGAAAAAAGGCTCCGGACAGCATCTGGACATGGAACAGTTAAACGCAAACACTTAGAAATGTGGTTAACTGCGTTTACAATTGTTTATACGCATTTACAAGCGTTTTTTTAAACGTCGGTAAAATTTACTCCTGAACGCAAGTTTGGTGTGTTAAAAAACCGGCTGTAAACCCAACTGCCTGTAAATGACTGTAAACAACGATGTGTACATGGACACATAGGAAAACATTAGGGAGAGTTCAGGGGCTGCTGAAAAAACGCAGAAAAGCTCCTAAACGTTAGTTTAGCAGCTGCAGTGTACATGAGCACTAATAGAAGAGTCTCTTTTTTTACTGATTGTGCTGAGGTTTATATGTATCTGTGAGATTCTTGCTTGTGACATAGCAACCAGAGCATATTTAATAGATAAAAGGAAGCCTGGGCTTTGATTAACCATGACCCTTAAGTCCCTCCCACTGTTAATTAGCCACACCCACACTCTAACCACACCAACTCTTCACTGCAGCACACTATGCACCGCAAGTCACTCTCTCTGAAGCGTCTCTCATTCTCAAATTCTAAAGTTGGGAGGTACAGTGGGGCAAAAAAGTATTTAGTCAGCCACCAATTGTGCAAGTTCTCCCACCTAAAAAGATGAGAGAGGCCTGTAATTGGCATCATAGGTAGTGTTTGTGAATGTGTATATAAGTCCCTTTATGAGAAGAGAACAGTTTTACAGGCATAAAAAAAAACAGAAAACTCTTGTGTTGCAGATTTACAGGTGATTCCATTGACGTTTATAGGGACAAAAATACAGCTCCAAAAAAAAGCTCAGGTTCCTTTTCAAGCATCGAGAAAATGAGCTTAATGATGCAGACAGCCTATATTGAAAAGTACAGGATTCCAATTGTTGAGTGTTGTTACACGTAGGTTTAGGTGCAGAAACATTAGAAAAAACTCTCAGGTGTGAATGGGGGTAAGAGAGCAGCCAGTAAATGGAAAAGCAAGCATTATATGCAAAGCTTAAATTGTTATTAAACCCAAAACAAAAATGTAATATATTACAACTTACCAATCATTAGATGTGGTGGCTGCATCAGTTTTCTTTTCTTTGGCTTTTTTCCTTCTGATTTCACCTAAAGGGTTTACATGAATAAGTAATAGCTGATTATTTTAATTACCCCTGTCAGTGGTAAATGGGTTGTCTCATCCATATAAACTGATACATTTTGCTGGACAGCTTGAGCTTCTGAAACACAGCAGAACTGCCTGAATCACAAGATGAAAATAGAAGAAAGAAAGCCATAAAAGGAAACTAATACAGCCATCACATCTAGGAATTGGTGAGCAATACAATACATGCTTTTGGGTTTTACACCTCTTAATCGCTTGCTGACCCACCACAGTACATTGACTGCGGCAGCTCGGCTCACACAGGCACAATCACGTACCTCTCATGAGCTGGAAGACTGTGTCGTCATTGGCTGCAGCACAAGCTGATCAGTGGGTCCAATGATTTACAGCCGGAACCCGTTGATCGGCTCAGAGAATGACAAGAAAGATCACTGTGGCAGCAGTGATGTGTCATTTTTTTCTCCTTGCAAAGCAGGGAGTAAAAACCTACACATTGCTTAGTAAAACAGCACACAATAAACACACTAAACATTTTTAGGTACATATTTAACCCCTTGATTGCCCTAGATGTTAACCCCTTCCCAGCCAGTGTCATTAGTACAGTGACAATGTACATTATTAACAATGATCACTGTACTAGTGTCACTGGAGACGTCAGTGGCAGTTAGTCAGTTCCCCTCCCCCCAGCATCAGTTAGTGTCTGATTGCCCACCGCACTATTGCAGTCCCACTATAAGTCACTGATAGCAGCCATTACTAGTGTAAAAAAATACACAAAAATTCCAGTATCTATACCATAGTTTATAGATGCTATGACTTTCACTCAAACCAATCAATATACACTTGTTGGGATTTTTTTTTACCAAAGACCGAAGAATACATTGTGGTTACAGTTTATAAAGAAATTTGAATTTTTTTTTACCTTTTTTTATTAAATATGTTGTTTTGTTTTTAAAATTTTTTTTTTTTTAGTTTATATAGGAAAGAAAAACTCAGCGGTAATCAAATACCGACAGACTGAAGAATACATTGTGGTTACAGTTTATAAAGAAATTAGATTTTTGTTTTTTACTTTTTTTATTGGATATGTTGTTTTGTTTTTCAAATTTTATTTTTCTAGTTTATGTAGGAAAAAAACTCAGCGGCGATCAAATACCAACAAAAGAAAGCTATATTTGTGTGAAAAAAAATATATAAATTGTTTGGATACAGCATTGCATGACCGCTCAATTACAAGTTAAAATAGTGCAGTGCTGAACAACAAAAAATAGCTTGGTCATGAAGGGGGAAAAATCATACAGAGCTCAAGTGGCTAAACAATAAACAGGAAACTTCCTTATAAAAAAAAAAACTTTCTGAGCGTGCTTTTATTGCACAAATTGAATTTCCAGGCAGGTGTGACGTTTCATAATAATTGTCACAATAAATGGTAGAGAATATGTTTGTGTCGCATGTCTGTTGTTAATTTTCCACGTGATCTTAGAACAATACTATGACTGCACCCATGCGATTGCACTTACTGCCCTTACCAGCAAAGTTGAATAATAATATGCAAAATCGTAAGGAAATGTCCTAGGCTGCATGTCAATGATTAAACACTATACTTCCTGGTTTAAAGAGCTCTGAACATTGCATTGCATTGGATGTACTTTCCCTGTTTACAGTGTCTACTAGTATCCTCAGGCTGTATGTTGTAAGTCAAATGGAAAAAAAGTTAGTTGTGCCACACTTAGAAAACTACCATATGTATGTGCACAATCCCCAAAAGTGGCATTTGATGCACTTTGGGCTCATTCACATGGGAGCATAGACTAATGTGCAAGCCCGGGAGTGATAGCTGTTCCATGCAGTCACCGCCAGCAGCCAAACTAATGAAAGAGCCACTGTAGGGATCTTCCCACATATCCGAGTGTTTACATCCTTAAAGGGATGGATGTAGTCATACAGTATATTTGACTGAATGTGAAATCAAACTGAAGACATATTCTGGTTTCCAAATCCAGATCTGCATTCTTCTTCACAAATGTCACTAATGCTTTACCTGAAGACCAGGGGAACATCTAGGGTAGGGTTGCCACCTCATCCCTTTAAAACCGAACACATATTAACCTCCCTAGCGGTCTGATTATTTCAGATTTTTGGTGCTGAAAGCGGTACCATTATTTTGCATGGAAATATTTAGTTTTTTTATTGTAGGCTGTAATTTTTAGGAATAACTCACTGAAACGAGTCTAGTAAACATCCCGGGTATGATAAAATTTGAAACACGAAATCATAAATTATAATTTAATAAATAATCATAAAAAAAATAAAAATAATAATACATTTAATTCAATAATATAATCAAACAAAAAACACTGAAATTTGAAATAGAGCGCCAAGTTCGCACATTGCTGAGCAAAGTCGCAAAATCGTTTTCGGTGTCTGATGACGAATTTCCCCACGAATCATTATCACTCAATTCTGCAAGTGGTTCTGATTTACTATCACTGTTCTCTAGCCGGTCTAAACCCGCTTTTGACCTTAAGGCTGGCCATACATTATACAATTATCTGCAGATTTTCTGCCCAATTTCCTTTAGATTTACCTTCAACTATGTAGTGCAAGAGCCTGCCTAATTGGATACAACTGAAAGTGTTGTTTAGGTTTGTCCTCCTATTATATGGTTTTTGGTAAATCTAAACCAAAAATCTGCAGATAATTGTATAATGTATGGCCAGCCAAAGGGACACTTTTTGGACGCCATGGACTTTTCTCAGTTTCCAGGCAGAAAGAACAGTAAAAATGTAGGCAGGGCACAGGACAAAGCACTAGGGACAAAATGTATGTGAAATGGGTTGAAACAGCAATGGTTTACTATGTAAAATTTGTTTGGAAAAAAATGACATTTTTTAAAATTTTCAAATTTCCCGCCGCCAGCGGCGCCCGTATGTCCCGACGTCACAGGGACCGGAACACAGAAGCCGGATGCCGGCATCGTCCGGAGGAGATGGCCGGGGATGCTGCAGGGGACACATTGCGGGAGCGAAGGACAAGGTAAGCTCTGCAGGGACTCCCTATGCAGCGCCGCATGGTAAGCCCAAGTGTCGCTCGGGCTTACTGCTTTTGGCACTGACATTTTACCCCGAGCTACACTCTGGAATACCGCTAGGGAGGTTAACCACTTGCCCTCCTGAGGATTTACCCCCTTTCTTGAACAGTCCATTTTTTGCATTGCAGCGCTGCGTTATTTTAACTGACAATTGCGCGGTCATGCAATGCTGCATCCAAATTAAATTTACATCCTGTTGTTCCCACTAATAGAGCTTTCTTTTGGTGGTATTTGATCTCCTGTGCGTTTTTTATTTTTTGCGCTATAAAAAAAATGACCGAAAAGTTTGAGAAAAAACACAATATTTTTGACTATTTGCTATTAAACATGTCGAGTAAAAAATTTTTTAAAATCTAATTTTGTCATGAATTTAGGCCAAAATGTATTCTGCGACATGTCTTTGCTAAATAAAATCCCAATACGTGTAAATTGATTGGTTTACGTGAAATTTATAGTGTTTACAAATGGCGGTATATATACTGCAATTTTTTCCCCCCTTTTTTTTTTTTTACTAGTAATGGCAGCGATCAGCGACTTATAGTGGGACTGCAGCGGGCATTCTGACACTGGGGGAACTGACTTGGTGTCACTGACATCTCAGTGACACCAATACAGTGATCAATGCTAATAAAAAGCACTGACATTGTACTAATGGCACTGGGCAGGAAGGGGTTAACATATGGGGCGAATAAAGGGATAACTGTGTGCTGTTTTACACTGTGTGGCTGTGTTTGTGCTTCACTGTAAGCACACTGCTATGCAGAGCCATGCAAAGCAGTGTGCAGGAGCTGACAGGGGAGAGAACTGTTTTGTTTACAAACAGTTCTCCCCCCCATCGGAGATGCTCAACAATCACCGGGCACCAGCAAGTAATCACCAGCTGGGACTCAGTGATTGACAGCCACGGCCGCGAATGGCAGCACGGTTAGGGTGCGCGCGACCCCAGCCGGAAATGCAAAATCATGTATATATACACAAGATTTTTCACACCCGTGCTGCCCTGTAGCAGTACTTATGCTATAGGGCGGACAGGAAGCTGTTAATTACACAGGTTCTGTGGCTGATTTAATAAAGATAAGTTACTAAGTGTTTTAATTACCACCTTAATCATCATCATCAGATACAATGTTGCAACCTCTGTAATGTCAAGGAACTGTCAAAGAAATAGCGGAGCTCTCTGCAGGGACACTTTTTGCCAGACTGGAATTCCTCTTATTTTTCATCCTTCTTCTTCTTCTCCTTCTTCATCATCATCCTCTTCTTCTTCTTCATCATCATCATCATCCTCTTCTTCTTCTTCTTCATCATCATCCTCTTCTTCTTCATCATCATCATCCTCTTCTTCTTTTTCTTCATCATCACCATCATCCTCTTCTTCTTCTTCATCACCATCCTCATCTTCTTCTTCATCATCATCATCAACATCCTCCTCTTCTTCTTCTTTTTCTTCATCATCATCATCATCATCATCATCATCATCATCTTCTTCTTCTTCTTCATCATCATCATCCTCTTCTTCTTCTTCTTCTTCTACTTTTTCATCATCATCCCTCTTCTTCATCTTCTTCTACTTCTTCATCATCATCCTCTTCTTCATCTTCTTCTACTTCTTCATCATCATCATCCTCTTCTTCATCTTCTTCTACTTCTTCATCATCATCATCATCCTCTTCTTCTTCTTCTACTTCTTCATCAATATCATTATCATCCTCTTCTTCTTCATCATCATCATCATCATCCTCTTCTACTACTTATACTTCTTCTACTACTTCTTCTTCATCATCCTCTTCTTCTTCATCATCATCCTCTTCTTCTTCATCATCATCATCTTCTTCTTCTTCTTCGTCATCCTCCTCCTCCTCTTCTTCTTCTTCATCATCATCATCATCATCATCATCCTCGTCTTCTTTTTCTTCATCATCATCTCTTCTCTTCTTCTTCTTCATCATCATCATCATCTCTTCTTCATCATCATAATCATCATCATCCTCTTCTTCTTCTTCTTCTCCTTCTTCATCCTCTTCTTTTTCTTCATCATCATCATCATCCTCTTCTTCTTTTTCTTCATCATCATCATCATCATCATCATCATCCTCTTCTTGTTCATCATCATCATCCACATCCTCTTCTTCATCATCATCTTCATCCTCCTCTTCTTCCTCTTCTTTTCTTCTTTTTTGTCTTCCTCTTGCAGGTCACTGCTCATGCGCAGATTTTTTATTGGTAAAAAATCGGCCGATTTGCCCATTATTGCCGCGAAAATCGGCCGATCGGCAAAATTGGCCGATTTTTTTTCCCAACTTTACCGATAAAAAAAACGGCCAAAATACCGAAAAAAAAACGGCCGAACAAATAGCCCACTAACGATCCGAAAATCGTCCGATTTTATTTTCGGCCGAAAAATCGGCCGATTTTCGACCCATCTATGGCCTGCATTAGAGGATCTCTGTGAAGATTGCACACTTCTGAAAGTATGTGCATCGCGACAACACCAGCATAGCATTATTAAAGCGGAGTTCCAGCCGTTTAATTATTTTTTTTCTAAAGGCACCCACGTGAGAGTGGCAGCTTAGGCAATGCAAGTTGAGATCACCTGTGCTTGGAATCCTTTGCTTTCCTTATTATTATTATTATTATTATACAGTATTTATAAAGTGCCAATAGTTCGCTCAGCGCTGTACATTACAGAGGGGGACAGAACATGTGACAGAACAATACCAATACAATGCAAAACATGAGGGGATCCTTATAAAAAAAATACATTTACTTACTGCACCCTCATATTGTGAATGCTGTCATCTTAAGTGTGGGCACCTGAAGCTCGCTCAGACATTCTTCTGGGAAATTGTGCAGCTGGCTACCCAGCATGCACTCCCCATTTTCGCTCCTGCGCAGTGTGAAGAAGGAGCGATCTCGCTCCTACGCAGTGTGAAGAAGGAGCGATCTCGCTCTCTTGATCTCGCTCTTGCAGTGTGAAGGAGCGATCTCGCTCCTGCGCAGTGTGAAGAAGGAGCGATCTCGCACCTGCACAATGTAAAGAAATCTCAAATCTCTTCCGGTCTCATAATAACAGGAGATTTTGGTATCACGCATTCCCTAAGACTGCTGGGATAGATGACGCCAATATCCCAGAAGCCCTAGGGCAGTGGTGGGCAACCTTTTTTTTCAACTGAGCCAAATCTCGCTAAAACCACGATTGAAATTTATTTTGAGAGCCACATTTTTAAAACTGAAAATACATAGGATGGTACACTGTTTTTAGTTTCAATAAGTTTTTATAGTAATTCATCCCCCATATAGTAATTCATCCCCCATAGTAATTCATCCCCCATATAGTAATTAATCCCCCATATAGTAATTCATCCCCCATATAGTAATTCATCCCCCCTATAGTAATTCATCCCCCCTATAGTAATTCATCCCCCATAGTAATTCATCCCCCATAGTAATTAATCCCCCATATAGTAATTCATCCCCCATAGTAATTCATCCCCCATATAGTAATTCATCCCCCATATAGTAATTCATCCCCCATAGTAATTCATCCCCCATAGTAATTCATCCCCCATAGTAATTCATCCCCCATATAGTAATTCATCCCCCATAGTAATTCATCCCCCATAGTAATTCATTCCCCATAGTAATTCATCCCCCATATAGTAATTCATCCCCCATATAGTAATTCATCCCCCCTATAGTAATTCATCCCCCATAGTAATTCATCCCCCATATAGTAATTCATCCCCCATATAGTAATTCATCCCCCAAATAGTAATTCATCCCCATATAGTAATTCATCCCCCCTATAGTAATTCATCCCCCATATAGTAATTAATCCCCCATATAGTAATTCATCCCCCATAGTAATTCATCCCCCATATAGTAATTCATCCCCCATATAGTAATTCATCCCCCATATTAATTCATCCCCCCTATAGTAATTCATCCCCCATAGTAATTCATCCCCCCCATAGTAATTCATCCCCCCTATAGTAATTCATCCCCCCTATAGTAATTCATCCCCCATAGTAATTCATCCCCCCTATAGTAATTCATCCCCCATAGTAATTCATCCCCCCTATAGTAATTCATCCCCCATAGTAATTCATCCCCCCCATAGTAATTCATCCCCCATAGTAATTTATCCCCCATAGTAATTCATCCCCCATATTAATTCATCCCTCATATAGTAGTAGTAAGTAAGTAGCAAGTAGTAAGCCAAGTCCCCCCTGTGTCAATTCACTTACCTTTGCTCCGTGCGTTCCTCTCGCCGTGTTCCCGCGCCGTTCCGGTCTTCAAGGCGGACTGTGAGAGGAGCCTAGCTCCTCTCACGTTCGTCACGCTGCCCCGCCTACACACATCCTGACAGCCAATCACTGGCTATCAGGATGTGAGTGGCAGCGAGACTGGCCAATCATTGCATTTGAGCGCGCTGCCCTGGCTGTTTTTTTTTTGGATCACGCTGCAGAGTCCCTGCCGCCCGAGAGGAGGGAGGGGAGCGGGCGCCCGGCACACAAGAGCCGCATTAAAGCGTGTAAAGAGCTGCATGTGGCTCGCGAGCCGCGGCTTGCCGACCACTGCCCTAGGGAATGCCTGATGATGTAATTTCCTAGGCGGCCGGGACCAGAAGTGGAGACAGAAATTACCAATAAAAGGTATTTAGGGAAAAAAAAAATCTACATATTGCCAAAACGGACTGTGAAGAGGGAGACCATTGTCTTTCAAGGGAGAAAAAAAAAAAAAGGCTGGAACTCCACTTTAATAGTAACCAGCTGTAGTGATGCTAAATACTACCAAATCCTTATTCATATAAAAGCAAAAAAAAAAAACTTGAGAGTACCAGGCTTATTAGGATTGAATTACCGTCACTATTATTATTGATCTTGGGCATTGTAGCCTTGTGGTAGTATAGGTGTCATTTTTGAACCTCATTTTACACACAACATACTGGTGCATTTTCTAGTTTCATCACATATTCATAAAATTATTCTTTTGCTAGTATTTGAATAAGGTTCAAGTAGTATTCAACAGCTCTACACCTGGGTACTATTAATAATATGCTCTTGGATGTGGGAACTCATAGTAGGTGGGAGTAGCAGCACGTAATCAAAATGACAGGTTAGGTGGGTTGATAGTGCATGTGTTTTCCACATATTTACCAACTTAGCATTGGTAACACAGAGGATCTGTATAAATCCGTATAAATCCATGACACTTACATAAATTCCAATGTAATTGGTTTCTGGCACCATACACGTGAGCTTTGAGGGTGTATCTCATCCATGCTTATGTGCATACTTGTGGTTCACTAATGACATAGCAATGTATTATAACAATAATTAAAATATGTGCCACTTGGTTATGGTGGCAGTTGGTTATCAGTGTGCCATGTGTTGATCTGAAGGTCTAGATGCAAATCACGTTTATACAAGGTGAAGGATCCAGCCTGACTTGTTAATTCCCATGTCTGTAGTGTAGCGGTGAAAGTAAAGTATAATGCACGTGCCTCATTTTCAATAACTAGACGGTTCTCTGGAAGTTACAGCTCATTTCACAATGCAAATGGTATGTAATGTTTAGCGAATGTAAATAAATC